CGCCAGCGAGTTCGGTGAGGGAGGAGTGGGTGCGGGCCGGGGAGGGCCGGGGAGGGCCGGGGGCGCCCGGACAGGCGGACGGAACCGCTCTCTCTCCCCCTCTCGCCCCGGAAGCAGCAGCGAACGGCGTGGTGCGCGGCGTGGACGCGCTGGGCGCGGGCGCGCGCCTGGTGACGCTGCTGCTGGACGGCGACGGGCTGTACCGCCGCGACCGCCTGTACCTGGCGCCCGACGGCTTCCTCTTCCAGGTCCACATCCTCGCCCTGGACTCCGCCCGCTGCAGCCGGCCGTGTCCGGAGTTTAAGCTCGGTAGGAAGGCCGCCGGCCGCGGGGCCCGTTCCTCCGGGCACCCGCAGCCCCGCACCTCGGTAGAACTTAGACGGCAGGCACCCCGGGCCCGGCCCACGACACTCAGCAAACGCGTTACAGAAGTGGGGTGGAGCCGGGCGCCCGTGACTCCCGCCTGTCATCCTAGCTGAGACCCGAGGATCGCGGTTCAAAGCCAGCCTGGGCAGGGACGGCCGTGAGACTCTAAACCACCCGAAAGCCGGAAGTGGCGCCGGGGCTCCCGTGGTAGAGTGAGGAGCTGAGGGACAGCGCCCAGGTCCCCGACCCCCCAAAAAAAGTGGGGCGGATGAGGAAACATGATTGTGCGGAGAAAAGCTTCCCGTTGCTGGGGCGGGGGGCACGTTAACCCCAGTCTGCCCTGGAGTTGCGTGCAGCCGGCCACCGAGGGGCCCAGCCCGGGTTTCCTTCCCTCCGGTGTGGCCTGTGCATGCGCCGGCGCCGGGCCTTCCCCGCCGGCCCTGGGTGCTGCCTGCGAGCTTTCCCCCCCCTGGGTGACGCTCTTCCCACCTGAGCCACAAGCCCCACTGCTAGCTTGTCGGGTGGTTAGGTGGAGGTCAGAGAGACTCATGCACTGCCCGGGCCAGGGGCTGGCTTCGAACCGCGGTGCTCAGGTCTCCGAGGCGCGCAGGCCGCTAACGTCTCTCTTCTCGGTTGTTCGGACCAGGCACCAGGTACATCGTGATGGGCCACGTCTACCACAAGCGCCGGCAGCTGCCCCGGGACCTGCTCCCGAGGCTGAAGGGGCGCGTGCGCCCCGGGGACGGGCTGCTGCCGGTGGGCAGCTACGTGAAGAGGTTCAACCGGAGGCGGGACCGGCAGGTGCGCGCGGCCATGCGCCTCCAGTGCGGCTGAAATGCAGCGCGGCGCCCGGGCCGAGCCCGGGAGACTCAAACTCAGCCCCAACGATGATGTCTGCATGGAATGGGGGGAGGGAGGGGTCTTTAAAAAAACGGGGCCCACAGCTGTGTTATGGACAACTTGGGGATCATCCCAACTCTTAGAGTTGCCACAGGCTCATGTGCCAGCCGATTTCCACACGGACAGGACCCGCTTCTCGGGTCGGTAGCCAGTTCCTCAAATGGAACCCGGGTTTACTGACACCCCTCCAGGACCTGACCTGTGCGGTGAACAGATCACGGCTTCATGTGAAGTTTTTAAATTATTTTAATTTAATACATTCTCCGGTAGAAATAGTTCACAAAAAAGATCTGAATTTAAATATACAACTTTGAACCGTTTATATCATGTACCAAGCCAAATGTTATCCTTAAAACCATCACATTTCAAATTCTGTACAAAAGAGGAAAGCGCACTCATCTGAAGACATTTACGGGTGAAATGTCCTTTAGATCACACCTTAGAGTTAGAGGAGGACAAGTATTAACATTTTACATTTAAGGAGTACAAAAGGGCTAAATTCAAGCACAATATTATAGAAGGCAAGAGCTCCTGATGTACCAAAATGTAAAATACAGTCTAGATTCTAGCCTCCTGCTCCTAATAGCTTGTTTTGTGCCAAACCGGCAGCAACTGCAGTATTGCGATGCTAAGCATACTCTGGTGGAGCTGATGTCATTTTTCTATGAAGACCTAATAGCACATTTGTGTATGGGAAGCAGTAAATCTTGCCTTGAAATCACATCTTGGATGCACCTGGTTTTTGTTTTTAGTCTCACTGAGCCTGACGGTTTGAGAAAAAAAAAAAAAAACCCTCCCAAACCAACTCCTCAAATGCAATTCATTAATGGACAGCTCACCAGCAAGCAAGTTGTAAATGTTTTCCAGTTGGGTTTGAAAGAAAGTTTAATCACTAGCTAAACTTGCTAACGATTCGATACTTGACATTACAGCCATTTTCAGATCAAGCTGTTTTGGCTAAAGCACTACAAATACAGATACCAATAATGTGCAAAGATTATTTCCCAAACAAGACTTCCCATGAAGGGCTTGAAGCAGGCTCTTTGGTCTCAAGGTGACAGGCTCAACTAGAGCGGGTCTGGGATGAGACGCAGCAGGGCTGATGGCTTCAGGCATGACTTCTCACCTCTAATCTGGGGCAGAGGTAAAATGAAGCTGAGAGGTTTTGGCTATTCTGTGATAATGTAATACTGGGGACTTTTAGTGGATTTTCCAAAAATCAGTCTTATCAGATTCTTATTAAAGTTCCACTACAGTTGCTCAGAAATTGAGTCCATTACAGCATAAAGAACTGACAATAGAGCATGCAGCTAGTGAAGAGGGTTTTTTGTTTTTTGTGTACTAGTGCTGGGGCTTGAACTCAGGGACTCAAGCTTACTTGGCTTTATTGCTCAAGACTAGTGCTCTATCATTTGAAATCACATCTCTGCTTCTAGCTTTTTGCTGGTTAATTGGAGATAAGTGTTACCAACTTTTTTTTTTTTTGCCTGGGCTGGCTTCACAGCTTAATCCTCAGATATCTGCTTCCCCAGTAGCTAGCTTTACAGGTGCGAACCATCCTAGCCTGGCTGAATGAAGAGGTTCAGACTAATGTTTTATTCAGGCTTAACTCAGGCTTAATAGGTCAGTCAAAAAAAAAAAAAACAAGGATGTCTTTTTTTTTTTGGAAGTACTTGGATTTGAACTCAGGGCCTAAGTGCTTGCTGAGCAGGGACTCAACTCCTGAGCCACAGCTCCAGCCTTCAAAACAAAGCTTGTAAAATAGCAAAAGGCTTAGTTGTGTTTTGAGGGACAAGATGGGAAAAAAATTACAGTAAGACTAAATACACCCATTCTGAAGCCTAAAGAGAAGTCCCAGAAATGCATGTGGTTAGATTGAAGAGAGAAAACAATTTTACATAAACGTGAGAGTTAAGGTCAGAAGTACTCATGTAACTAACTAAGATAATGTATGGGAAAAAAAATGAAGACACACACAAATGCCAGGCCTCTGATGCTCATGGATACTTGCGAGTCACGAGGTGAATTTGCTGGCCCCATAAACATGTGCAGCAGGTTTTTAGTGAAGCCTGCGTAAGATGTAAGGCCACCATCTTTCCGGCCAGGTCTGAGAAGGCTCACTGCGGATGGGAGACGGAGAACCTCAAGAGCAGACTAACTCCAGGTTAGGCAGAAAAGATTGGCAGCTTTGTCAATATGCAGTCAGGAACATTTGAATGAGCAAATTCGTGGTGGTTTCTAATCCCTTTTGTCCTATTGATGGGTTTTTCTCAGTACATGCTTTTGGGCCAAAGACTAAAGGGCCCTTTGTGCCCATGGGCATATAACAGCGCCTCACCGGGAAAATACCGGGCAGCCCGCTGGAGGAACTCACTAGCAGCTGTTATTCAAATTAAGCTGTCACTTTAAAACTCAAGGGGAAGTACTATTTTTTTTTTTTTGGGAAGGTCTCTAAGATCAACTTTTTCCTTTCTTTGTGGCTTTTAAAAATGTCTCAAAGACTCAAAGACGCCATTTGGCACAGTTCCTCTTGCTGCTGAAATAATCTTTTAAGGTTACCTAAAGCACACACACGCACATGCGAACACTTCTCAAAAATGGACTCGTCACCTACTACTGTGTCTAACCTCAATTGCAGGATCTGTTTAACAATGGAACCAAGTTAAAGCAGGACTTTATCATTTAAAAAAATATAGCTTATTTCTTTAGTTGAATTTGGTCCAAAGTGCCTCAGACTATTTCACATTATTAGAGATACTTGGAAGTGGTGCTGTAGCTCAAGCGGTAGAGCGCTTGCCTTGAGCTGAAGAGTGCAGGGACAGCGCCCAGGCCCAGAGTTCAAGCCCCACGACCGACAAAAAAAAAAAAAAAAAGAAAAAAAGAAAAGATACTTTTCAGCTTGCCCTTTCCCTGCCCCCCTTTTTTTGTGGCAGTTCTGGGGCTTCAACTCAGGGTCTGCATGCTGTCTCTGAGCTTCATTTTGCTCAAGGCTAGTGCTCTACCACTTGAGCCATAGCCCCACTTCTGGCTTTTTCTGAGTAGTTTATTGGAGGTAAGAGTCTCACAGTCTATTTTGCCCAGGCTAGCTTTGAACCGTGAACCTCAGATCTCGGCCTCCTGAGTTGCTAGGATTACAGGCCTGAGCCATCAGTGCCCGGCCCCCATTACTTTTATTTAAGGGCTGGAAATCTGAGACTGCTCGGTCATGAACTCCATCTGGAGAAGAGTGGCTGTGCCCAGCTCAGTCTGTAAGAGTTGTAGGTTTTCAAAGGCCACTAGGTTAGCTAATGTGAGAAATATAAAGAAACAGGGAGTTGGCCTGACAGAAATCAACAGAAATAGGGAAAGATCTTTTATTGGTAGATTTTTTGGAAGGCAGGTTACAAACAGCACTCCAGGCCACTTAGATATAAAAGGTCATTGTTTTGCTTTAGAAAATATCTTCCCAAAATTTACAATTAAAAAAAAAAACCCACAACAACCCACTGCAGGACATGAAGTACAAACTTTGCAGAATTTGGAGAAAAAAGCTTTACCTTTATGAAAATAATCTTTATGAAATGGTTTCAAGGATTGTGAATTGGGAGATGAAGCATAGCAAACATTGAAAATATATTTTAGCCAAAAGAATCCATTGATGTAAGTGAAATCTATTTACAGGCCCCAAGGCTGGGGCAGAAACATTCTAGTAGTATTAACAGATGTGCATTATTCTACTTGGATTATTGAAAGCCAAACAGCTTAATATCTTAACTGAATAGTAGACTTTTGTTAAAGATACTCATAGAAAAGTAGCTTTTGAAGAATGTAAGTTATTCATAATCACTTTTGAAAGACTAGAACTCTAGTTGATAAAACTATATAAAATGTCTTCACGTACTTATACGATGACAGAAATGATTATTAAAGTCTTGATGCTATTAAAAACATGAAATGAACATCATCTTTGTCTTTTTTCCTTTTCTGTGCAGGTCCTTGGGCTTGAACTCAGGGCCATGAGCTTGTATGTGGCTTTTTCCGTTCAAGGCTAGTGCTCTTTCACTTGAGCCATGCCTCCAATTCTGGCTTTTTGCTGGTTAACTGGAGATAAGTCTCTGGGACTTGTCTGCCTGGGTTGGCTTGGAACCTTGATCCTCAGATTCAACCTCTTGAGTAGCTAGGATTACAGGCGTGAGACTACCCGTGCCTGGCTTCCTGGACGTCTTTTTTTGGATACAATTTGGCAATGTCAACAGCTTCAGAAAATATAGCCACCCATCTGCCAACCAACCAGCTATTTCATTAGAAACTGCACCAAATCCAATGTCAGAACCAGTACTTTATTCTCCTAAGATGAAATGTCCTATTACGTACAAAAAGAATTGCTGTTTCGTTTTGCCACAATTTGTTAAACACATAGCAACCTAGTTTTAAGTGAATAAATAGTACAGAAATACTGTGATGTGATGACTTGCCGAATAATTGTGTAATTCATTCAAACGTAGAATTCTTGCATCGGCCCAGTGCATACAACATATAACATTAAACAAAACAAAACAAAACACACACAAAAAAACCTAAAAGGACCAAATAACCTGTATTTAACTACTTTCATCTTAATATTTTAGGCAAAAACCTTGCTTCCAGGTTTCTACACTGAGTTGATGTGACATCTTCGTGTACAGAAGGAATAAAATGACTGCAGAAAAACCTGTGCACCTGAGCCTGGAGGAGGGAGGGATGAACTGCAGCAGCAGCTTGCTCTGAAGAAGCTACTGGCTGGGAAAGGTTTTGCATAGCAAGACAACACTGAACAGAAGGAAACTTGAAAAAGCAGAAAGTAGGCAAATTCCAGGACATGGTAAGGACAAAGCTAGTTGTGCAAAAAGCTAGAAAAATCCTTGCAAAGCTGCCTAATTCAACTGTGGTAGATGGGAGAGAAGCGGGTCTCACCGCACAGGAAGAACGGTGTAGAAGGATCACACACTGACAGGAAACACAAGCAGAATAATACACCTTCCTCCCCTGCTTTCCCGTTTTCCCAAAGCTTATGCTACTTTTCCTGATGTGGAGCAGACAGACAAGAAACAAAGGAACAAACCCCCCAACCAACCAACAACCAATGACAGAGGGTAAGGGCACGTAAAGATGCCCTTCCTGCGCTCTAAGTAGCTGTCTGGAACCAGCCATCGCCTGGAATCTCAGAGAACAGACAAAGGCCTTTCTCATGGGTATGGTCAACTGAGGAAAGGGATTAGCACCCTGCAGATTTCCCATTAGGTGCCCTCAGTGGACTGGAAATCCTAACGGGGGTCACCCCTGTCCCGGGGACACCCAGGTCTCACTGGAACCTCTGCTCTCATGACGTGGCCCCCTCCCCGCAAAGGCTCACAGATCCTCATGAGCGCACAAAGACACCTCCATCTGTGGGAGAAAAAGTATCTCCATTTATTTCCATTCATATACATCCATAGTTGAATTTTAATACAAAAAGAAAAAAATTAGAATCTGACAAATGTTTACAAACAAGATACCTTCAAATAGATTTTGCTCCTTTTAGCCTGGTGCGGAGTAAATGGCGGACTGTAATGGTGTGCTCAAGGAGTCAGTCTGTAGTCCAGGACTACTCAGCCCAACCTCTCATCGAGCTTAATTTGTGTCTACCATGAACAGTAACTCATTGTTGATTCCCAGGTGTGTGCACATGTGTACATAGCAGCTCCTTTCATAGAAAGAAAAGAC